TTTAGACTCATGCCTCTTAACACAGGTAGAATAATGTGACCAGGCAAGGAATTCTCTCCTAAGAAGCTCTCTGTATATCAGGGAATCCCAGTCAGTTGTCTCCGTATTTTCAGTCATCTGGTAGCACTTAGTCCAATTGTAAACTTGATCCCTGGGAGGAAATAATTAATGCTGATAGAGTTCTTAAACAAACAAACAAACAAACAAACAACAACAACAACAAAACCCACCTAAACTGTAATAGGACACCAAACACTCTATAGACCAGGTAAGAAACCAGTATCCAGGGGCTGGAGAGATGACTCAGAGGTTAAGGGCACTGACTGATCTTCCAGAGGATCTGGGTCAATTCCCAGCAACCACATGGCAGCTCACAACTGTCTGTAACTCCAATTCCAGGGGATCTGATACCTTCAGACCAATGCAGATAAAATAAAGTTAAATAAATTATTAAAAAAGAAACCAGTGTCCAAAAGAAGTTTCCCATTTCAATAATGACTATTTGCAGGAAGAGTGCAGTGACCTTTGAGAGAGCAGGCTTGATGACCAGATGGAGATGGAGCTAGTGGACAGGAACAAGTTGACAAGGATGACAATGAGACTTCAGTCTGGGTGTGAGTCAGACCAAGAGAGAAATCTGTCAAGATGGAGGAGAGTTAACTATGCTGAAGATGGGATGGGAATGCACAACTGGAGTTTGTGGCTGGTCTTCCTTAGGGATAAGAGCATTCAGTCTGGTATTGACAGATATGTAAATGGCAGACCTTTATCTGGGATGCCCAGGATGCTCCTGTCAGTTTAGGCACATTTCCACAGCCTTGCTCAAGTCAATACCCCCCCTCTCTCTCTCCTCTTTCTCCATCCCTGAAAAGACTGTATGCCCCAAACTCTAGGTCAAGGCTCAATGCATGGGATGTCATTGTATCCACAGAGCAGCTACTCCAGGGCTAACAGTGTCAGAGGAAGAGCGGCAAGTTAAATACAAAGATCTACACTTGGAGGACTTTAGAACGTTCGTGGATTGGATCCACGACTTCAGATAAACATCCAAGGCAAGAGAACTTCCGATAGTCAGTCTTCCTTTGCCAAACTGAGACCACTGTGTTGGGAAAAGGGATCGAGGAGAAGCTTGCCATTTGTAGGATATGGAAGTAGTTATAGAGGCCCACATTCCATGTGCTTAAGTATATACATGTGCTACTTCATGCTAACAGATGTGGTTCCTACTTGTCCTAACCTGAGCTCCATCCACTAGTGGAAGCCATGTGGGCACACAGCTAGTGATGCCCCGATGTACATCTCTTGACCTCAGGATGAGCTCATGATTGGTCCCTCCTGAAGGAGCACAAAGAGCTGCCTCGTCTATTCTGTGTTAGTCAACTTCCAGTTATTACCACTGACAGTTGCTATGGTAAGAAAGGAAAAGGTTTGTTTGGGTCCACTCCAAGATCAATTAGTACTGCTGGATTTTGAGCACTCATCAAAGCAGGGTATCAGAGAGGGGAGCAGGTGACAGGAGGGTGCTTGTTTCATGGAAGCTGGGAGGGATGATGTTCCACTATTCTCTTTGAGGACACAGTCCCAAGGACCCAGATTGCTCTACTAATGTCTCATTTCACAGTGGTACCTCCCAGGCTAGGGACAAATCCTTTAGCATATGAGCCTTGGGGAAATCCCAGACCCAAACTACAGCACTCCCCATCTGGGTTGGAGGCTGTTGGTACCTGAAATTTAAAGTTTTTCATAACTAAAATGTTCTATAAGGTGGAGGGGCATGTCAGAAAATTAACCACTTGGAACTGGAGCATGGGCTCAGGAGGTCAGGATGGGTGTTCGTGGCAGAAGTTATACATAACACAGTTCCTTCCTCCCTTCCGTTATTTAAAACATTCTTTCTCCAGATTTACCATTTTAGTTTTCAGTAGACTGTCTTTCAAAGAACTCTATTCTCTTCTTTATTTGAAGCACCACCATACAGCCCAAGTTGGCTTCACACTTTAAATCCTCTCGCTTTAGGCCCTTAGGTGCTTGAGTAACAGGCGAGAAGCATTGCCACACATAGCTTCAGGGAACTCTGGAACAGGCGTCTCCCAAACTTCCTCAGTATTAACTTTGCTCCAGGAAAATACTTTGCCTCACATGCCTGAAACTCTGGGCCCCAACTCTAGAGCTGTGTTGGGATGGGGGTGGGGGCAGGGAGAAAGAGTCTCTCTAGCCACAGGGATCTTGAAGGACTTTGCAAGTAGAGAATAGTTCTTTGCAGGCTAACACACTCACCTCATTTATGCCAGGCTTGGGAGGGGGCATACCTAAAGGCTGACAGGCTGGACCCCATTTAGCTCTCTTTATCACATAAACAAACAGATTATCTGAGGACAAAGGGAGAAGAGTTTTCTGAAGACATTTATAATGGAGGGATACTAATGCTCTGATGGCTCCAAAGGGCAACCATTTAGTAAGGGATTTTTAGATGCAATCTCAACCACTTTAGGACTGATGTAGGGCACTAAGGTCTTGCCTGGGTTTCCTCCTCAGGCAGAACTTCAGATTATTCCATTTATTAAAAGTGTAAGCTTCAGAACTCACACTCATGAACATGGTGGGGGGGTATGTGTGCTCAAGTGCACCCCCTATGAAGTCAGCAAACCTCATCCTAATATTTACTGGCAGATTATAAATTGCTTAACGTCTTTGAGGCCCTTCCTATCTCTGTGAAAAACAAAAGGGTCAGCCTCCATGATTTAGAACCCATGATTTAGAATAAACACACACCCGCCCACCCCCCCGCCCAGCCTCACACACCCCCTCTAAGAGAATATTTGAATTCTTGAGAGTTCAATTTCTCAGGAAGACCTTCAGAGTGAATGCAGATAAATATTGACTGCCAAATTACTGGTTTTACCTGAGGTATCCAAGACTAATCCTGGGACGAGCCTGCCTTCCTTCTTTCCTTCCTTCCTTCTTTCCTTCCTTCCTTCCTTCCTTCCTTCCCTCCCTCCCTCCCTCCCCACCTTGGGTTTTCTGAGATAGGGTTTGTTCGTGTAACAGTCCTGGCTGTCCTGGAACTCACCCTGTAGAGTTGAACTCACTGAGATCCACCTGCCTCTGCCTCCCAAGTGCTGGGATTAAAGGTGTGAGCCTCTGTATTCTTATTACAGGATGCTTGCCAGGGCTTGGTATTTAATTATCATTAGGGTGGATGTTCTGTCAGTTTCTTTCGTGGAAGAGACAGATGCAACGAACATGGTCCTTGAATGTCTAAGTGTGTGGAGTAAAGCTAGAGTGTGGTAAGCAGTGAATTTAACCAATTCTATTCAAATCCCCCAGGCTGAAAACTATTGGATTACTTAAAAAAAACTCTTGTATCTATTTTTTTAGAATTTCACACATGTATACAACAAATATTGATCATTTTTTCCTTCTATTTTCCCTTTCAACTCCCTCATCCCCCATTTCACTCCTGTCTTCATGTTCTTCCTCTCTTTCTCCCCTTCTTTGCTTTCTAGACTCTGTAGACTCCAATTACTGCTGCCCTTATTTGCATGGTGTGGGACCAACTACTAGGGCATTAACGAGCTATCAGAGGCCACACCCTCATTGAATGTGACTATCCTTTTCAACCAGCCATTACTTGCCAATGACTCCTCAGATAAGGTGATGAACCAACTGTGAGACAATGTTGGAGGTGATAACCATGGTCTTGACGGCTTTCATGGCTTTGATAAGTTCAGAGATTACTTAGTATAGATATGATCTCAGACCAACTTCCTCTCGATGGAAAACAAACCCAAACACAATGAAAATATGCCTGATACCACCATAATTTTCTTGAATCCCCTGAGCAACAGGAATGTCGGATTCAGGAGGTAGCATGTTTCACGCGGTTGTGACGCAAAATGGGATAGCCCAGATAAGACATCCTGCATTGCCTCCGACCCCCCAACCACCCACAGAAGGCCAGAGAGGTGCTGGCTCAAACCAGGGCAGTTGACACATGGGCCCCAGTAACTACCTATCAAATGGATTAAAGATTATCCACTCTCACCTATCTGCCTTTTGTTTAACCACCCTCCGGTTCTAAGCTCCTTTGACAACGGATCCCTGAATTCTGCCTGTTCCATAATGGTGTGGATGTAGGGTGCAGGGAAGGGAAAGTGTGTCAGAATGAGTAAGGAGGTCAGCTGAATCCTACGCGTTAGGGATGAATAAGAAATCCTTAGAGACCCAGGGCCAACAAAGAGCCTGAAGCAGGGGAGCCCAGCCCGGAGACCCCAGAGCCCCACATCAGCCTTGAGGATCCCGTCCGGTGAACCTCGCAGAGGGACAAAGTCCAAGTCCCTAACTCCACCACTCAGGGCACCCCCAAGCCTCTCAGTTTGCGCTCGCTTGCAACTCCCGCCCCCGGGGCGGTGCCGGGAAGAAGCGGTGCCTCCGCCGGTCA